CCCTGTATATGACTTTTCTCCATCACTGTCTAAATTTTTACCAAAGGTATATAAAAATTGGCCAATCCTTAAGAGGGAAATGTACACTGCACAAATACCTATTCTTCTCCAACAAATTTAGTATATCTATAAATTAAGTTTCTCCACATAATTATTTTAAAATTAAAATTGTCCTTAGAATGAGCAAAAAAAATGTTCAAATTCCATTCCAGGCAATTATATTTCTAAATTATCATGCATATATGAGTCCAGCAAAACAAACATTTATTACATTTAGGCATTACAATTGTGATAAAATTATAAAATAAAATTACATGCAATATGATAAGCAATTTAATTTAATGATTAGAATTATAACAAAAGGAGGTCAAATATTTAATTCCCCTGATAAACTTCAGTTTAAACTGTTTAAGGTTATGAAATATATTCATGAGAATTACTTTAGAAGAAAACCAAAACAACAAACACACACTTTAAAAACATTTTTTCTAAAAAGTTTTTAACATAGTTGCTAAAAACTAATCCAATGCTTAAGATTAATTTAAAGGTCATAGAGCGATAGAAGCAAAGGTATTTAACCACCAGTACCACATTGTTTAAACATCTCTGACTAATTTGTCTAATCCTTGTTTTATCTCAATAGATGTAATAGCAATATAAACAATAATAGTTATGTAAGAACCTTATTATAGCAATAATAACAACAGTAATATAAATAATAATAATCATGTTCGAGACGTCATCACCACATTGCATCAAAATATTTATTTATTACTGTGGTGTCATGTACTCTCTACATGTTTTCATGGTATCTCACCATTGCAACTCCTATTGTTGAGTGTAGCTCTAATCTGCTCTACATCCAACTTTAATTTCTCGGCTGCTTCAGAAATGTGGGGACAGTCCATATCTTCATCCATGCCTTGTTGGGTGAATGAATACCTCTTTGGAAGACACAAACGTTCAGTAACAAACAATATAAATTCTTCAAATCAAGAATAATTTGTTGATGACCTAACAAATACATACACAATTCGAGCAATTTAGTAAAATATTGGGCAAATTAGTTAACATTTTACTAAAATAATTAATTTACAGTATTATTTAGTATTGGCTAATGAAATGTTACTAAATATTTTTCACTCTTAACTCTACATCAGCAATAATACTATAAATAACATCTATGAGGTACATTTTCAGACTCGAGGACATTTCTTACTCACTTCTGAGGTGTAGTTGTATCAGTAAAGGTTAACAGATGATAGCTACAATCGATTGCAGTGACGAAGATTTGATGGTGACTCTGTGGCGATAATCGGTACAGTGTCAGCGGAGACAATGACAGAAGACGGGACGTACTAAAAAACGCCCCGTCGTATTAGCCGAGAATAATGTAATTGAATGATGGTGACAGCGACAGCCGACAGGTCAAGCAGAGACAACTAACCAGTACCAACTACGAAACCGGTCTGAAGATGAACTCTAAAAGTCTCAACTCTCAATGTCCTGAAAGTCCCAATCGTCCGATACTACGACTGCACTCCGCGCATGCGTAGAACGGCGGCGGACGAGTGATGAGGGTAACAAAAGGCGACGGAGTCTTTATGCCGTATGGAGAATGGGCACACCGACAATACCGATGCCACTCTACAACACAGCCACGAATCCGTATTCCGTCGTGCTGACGATTGACGGGACGGGGACGGAGTACGGACGGACGGACGACGAACTACGAAGCGCTGCGCTACTCAGTTACTTGAGTGGGGCGAGGTGGGGTGGTTCACTAACGGTGGGGCGGGTGGTGACGGACGGCCAACTGCGTTATTTCTACGAAAACAGCTGTTCGTCGCGGCGCCGCACTGTACAAACGGAACAACACCATCGTCAAACACTCTGGCGGCGAACAATGGTGGTGCCCCCGGCTGAGCTGTTCCCCGCCGTGTCTATATGTCGTGTTGTTCTGTTCGTTCGCTTGCCCGCACGCGCACGGTAGATTTGGGCGTCTACCGTAGTACCGTATAAAATCGGTGCTCGAGCGGCGATCGATCGAGTTTACGCGGCGGCCTACAACTGCTTTGCCTACGTGGGAACCCTAAATCCTGCGCACGACGTGTGTACGTGATATACCGGACGCAGCTAGGAGACGGCAGTTCCTACGAAATATAATATTATGTTCCTACAGATTTAATTTAAATGATGCGCGATGACACAAACTGGCATGGTGTTTATCAGTTATCACTTATCTGCAGCGATAAACTTGTTTTTCTCCAACCGAAACCTTTGGCCTTTCGCAGACTTCTCAATCATCCCACATAGTATTCCGCCATGTTTATTTTATTATTCCTTGATAGTATTTTCATCGGATCAATCCTCAGAGTAATAATAATAGATCAATAATRATGGATCGATCGTAAAAATGAAAAAATGTTAACGATTCCCAATTTATTATAGCTTGTTAAYTGTCATCCTGGGAGAAACTGATCCGGAATATCGTGAAATATTCTTGTTATAATCAAAAATCAAACGACTTGAATAAAAGAACCCGTTGCCAGAAATCTTAAAGTATGCTACAGTAATATTGTTCTGTAGCCATACGGAGTTTAATATATTGTGTGTCGTCATATGTAAAATATAAAAAATACTAATTGATTCACTGGAATGGCAGCCCGAGCACAGCAGGCACCTATCCTTAATTTAAAAATAAGTCTGAAACATTTTTCTCACTCACTTTCTCGCTCTCTCTCTCTTCTCTCTTCTAACAACCTTGTAAGATAAATCGCTTCGACTACGTCTTATACTAGTCGAACGGCGGCGGGCCTACTCACCAACAAAATGTAATGTATAATATGTGTGTGGTTATGCTCCTACGGTCTATAGTTCTACACGCCCCTTATGCATTCTGACTCGCACGAATGTCAAACAACACATCAGCTATATATAGCTACTATATGTATAAAACTACATATTGACTTCAAACAACTAAAGATACACCTCGCCACCACCGTTGGTCGTTAAATATAATATTATACATATAGCARCATAAGGATGGTCGATATATGCGGAGATAAAACGAATTTTCTCCCCTTCATAAATCATGCTACTATGCGAGTGCAACATTAACTATTGCAGCGGGCGTACTATCAGCCCATCGGGAGATTTAATTTTTACCATAACGACTATACCTAATACCTATATGGCTATATGAAAATAGATGTATAGTATATATTATATATAATATAGTCAGTTAGGCACACCCTTATATTTTATAAAATGTTTACGACCACTGCACACCTCACCCACATCCCCATTATTAAAACGTAAACCATCACCGAAAATTGGAAACCCGCTGACTCATATATATAATACAGGTAGAGTAGGTGCTTATACCTTCCAGACATACATTATGTGTGCACACCCTCTGCTCAGGCTATTATTATAAATCGAAAAACGTATCGCTTGAAGACAATATTTAGCAGTTAGGTACTGTACATAAAAGTCTCCCTCTTCGGCAGCTGCTTCTCCGATCCTCCATGGCTTCAGCATAATTCCGCGACGTATACATATAGTCGCCGATAAGAAAAAAAATATATATACGAGTCCCCAAGACCGAACCAAAAAAGGATACTGTATATTATTTTGTATATATATATATATATTGTGACCTATGTACCAACAAAAATAAACAGGTGTCCACACTCCACCAAGTGCACGAAAAAATGAAAAATATATCATGTTATTATTCTTTGTATGATATATTTTGTCACTTGCTGCGTTTACCATATAATATATATAGATATAGCATGTTTTTATTGTGATAGTCTACCATAGAATCGTAGAAGATGAAATTACGTACTGTATAATAGTATATGTATATATACGTCATAGTGTCATACACTCGTCACTCATACAGTCATACTATCTATAACTTATTAGTTATTAGTCATACACGATACGCACGTATTTTCACGTTGGAAAAATATCTTCGTCCTACAGTTTATAGAGAATCATGATAAAAATTCCTAGTTGAAACGTCCGGTATCCTTATATAATATTTAGACTAGAATTTTTTTTCAAACATTACGATATTATTATTATGATTTATTTGGTCTCGTTCTATTAAAAAAAATCTCACATAATTATTCATAAAAAATCATAATAATATATAATTATGGCTGTATTTGAGTAGAACTCGATAAACCAAATCATTTAGACAAAAGCACTAAGCAGTGATTCAATATTGCATGTGCTCCTAAACGTCGTGCAGTTTTCAAAGTCCAAAGAAAGTACCTATAGTTAAGTAATAAATAGGTATTTATAATTTATAATAATATATTATATACAAGCAAGTTGTGATATTGCCAATATTTCTGGTAAATACTTATAAGATAAGTTGTTAATTTCGCCAAGTATATCATTTAATTAAATTTTATATTAATTTAATTGGAACATTACCTAACTGTTCATCACATATATTTTTTCCTTTTACTAATTATCTATTATCTATATCCGAACTTTTCGACAGTCTTCACTCTTCATTTATTACATGAATAGGCAACTAGTGTCCCGCAAACCTTTATTTTCTGACCCTTACAACGTTTTAAAACTACTTCATACAATTTTAACGCTTATCTTTATTTATAAATTACTTTGTTGATTGTTCGTAGATAATAAATTCATACAAAATATTATAATAAGTCATAATATTTTATTACAGTTGATAGTTGAAATTGAAAATCAGGATTCTTAATTTTAATTAGAAATTAAAATTATGTTAGTTGCAAATGAATCTAATTTTATAACTTCAAAAAGTATTGACACGTTTTTGAAAAAAAAACCCCCATTCAAACTTGTAAAATTTTTCGGTTGATTTTCAATTTTTGCATTAAAAATGTTATCTATTGCTCTTAGGTATAAGAGTATAATATATAATTATTTTATATAATATATTATTATGCTTAGAGTTATTGCCTTCGTTTATCTTTTTTTTTTATTTCATAGAAATTGAATTTTGGTAGTACTTTATTTATTTTTAATTCAGGTACTAAACCTATTCCTATATTATAATATGTACATGGTATGTCGGTATACCTACTACAGTTGTTAAATATTACGCATTTACTCCAATATGTATAAAATACTTAATGTCTTAATTAAAGCTATGCATGTATAATAACCACTAACATGACACCATGATATAATTGTACAAAATTAGCTGTTTTTACTTTTCTAGTGTAATATAATATTATTACACTATTCAATAGAACAATTGAAAATTAACCTAATAAGACACTATTAGTATTATTATCTACAAAAATAAAAAATCGAATAAAAAAATATTAAATTTGTTTAAATTGTTTATATGTGTAAATATCAATGCATTAAAAAGACAAGGACGCCACATCCACATATATATTATATATATGTTATCTCCGTCTTACAAGTGTTAGATATGCATATCAAATTTACGCTCAGCAGATTATAAGCTCCGTTATAGTTTAAACATTAGAGTGAATTGACCTCTTATATAATCTAAAGGTAATAATATTATCTGTGTTCATATGGTAGTTTTTTAGGATGGTTTAACTTTTTAGGAAGTTTTGTATATATTATTATATTATAGCATAAATTAAAAATGTCCATAACTCATTAAAAAACCAGCATATACGGACGATTACAGATAATGTTCTTACCGTCACGTTTCATAGATCGATGCATTCTATTTTTTTAACTAACAGAGTTAATGAGATCTGCCGAACGTTAATTTGTTATATTACATCACCTTACACATTTGTAAGACAGAGACAATAAATGCCGGTGTGGCGTCCTCTAAATGTTAAAATAAATTTTAAGAAAAATATCGTTAACATAGGTATATAAAGTTTTTAAAACCAAAATTGATCAACGTGTATTAACTAGGTACTTAATAATTTATTATTTTTTTGCCAATCAACTGTAGGTTCCTATTCGAGATGTATTTACCGTATAAATTAAGTACCGTGAATTTGAAATTTATTTCTTACAGTAACTTAATATTAAAGTTTCGAGTTAGACGATTAATTTTAGATTCTGAACCGAGTGATGAATGTATTGATTTTACAATGATGTGTGTTTTTTTTTTGTGTCTGTGTACAGCATAACTAGTCGAAATAATGCTTCAATTTYAAACKTYGGGGGTGGTTTCYGATGTAAAAGTGAATATCCTTGGTGCATTATAGAGGTCAAAAGTAAACATTTTCCGACAGTTTTCAAAAAAATCGAGAAAAATAAAAAAAAATTACAGAAAACGGGAATTTTTACGCAAAACCAGTTTTCAACCAAATCGATTTTTTTATATGGTTTTAATTCAAAAAATAATCACTATAAATACTTGAAATTTTCACCAAATGTTTATGTTAGTGTTATCTATACACAGTTTAATTTTCAAAAATTTTTGAATTTTTTTTTAGTTATTTATAGACAACTGAAATTTTCGATTGTTATGAGAATTTTTTTTTGAAGTGTCGGTAAAAAAATTTTAGATGACCAAAAAAACTTGAAAATTTAATACAAGGTTCCTTATGAGTTTTTCTTATTGTAGCTAAAAAAAATTAAAAATCGTTTGTCACGATTTTTTTTATAAGCGTTTATAGTTCAAATTTTTACGAAATCTGTCGAAAACGCGAAAATTTGCAAGTAATTTTGAAGTTGAAAAATCATAAAATTTTTTGCGTTTATAACTAAGGATTGAAAATACAACACTAAGTTTTCCTTCAAGTAGGTATAGAGAAATCTTGAAGCATCATTATAAGAAAAATTTTAAGTGCGTTTGAATTTTAAATTTTTACG